AGTTTATGTAGAATCCGATCCGAACACGAAAGTGTTGACGCATATATTCATGGCCCATCCTGCGTCGATCAATCTATTCCGGACATATCACTGGTATGTCGGTATAGATTCCACGTATAAAACCAACAGGTATGTTACTTATAAATACTTTATTAGTATGAATCTTAAAAGTGTTGACGCATATATTTATGTGTTTATATTTTTTGTCTTCTTGGTCACATTTGCACAGGTACAAGATGCCGTTGGTCGAGATGATTGGGATGACGCCGTGCAACCAGAACTTCCTAATTGTGTATGCCCTCATCAGGGACGAGAAAGAGACCAGTTACGACTGGGTTCTAGAGAAGTTGAGACTACTGATAGGCCAAAGCGTATATCCTCATGTTGTTGTCAGTGACAGAGAGTTGGGTCTACTCACTCCTATTCAGAGGCATTTTCCTGAATCAGCCCACTTACTCTGCACGTGGCACATCAACAAGGATGTGGAAGCCAGAACCTACCACCTATTTGGGAAGAATAAAAAATTCTCGAAGATTTTCACGCACAGTACGTGGAAGGCGATTGCAGAGGCCAGTACGTTCGATGCCTACAACGATGCCGTTGCCGAGCTGCGCGCAAAATATTCAAACAATGCAGAGGTGATACGGTATGTGGAGGGCACATGGTTAGTGCACCGCGAGAAGTTTGTGAAGGCTTGGACCAACCGAGTGATACATTTTGGAAACACAACTTCCTGTAGGGTGGAGAGTGCCCACTCTGCGTTGAAGGAGTGGCTTCAGACGTCCACCGGCGCGCTCGATACGGTTTGGCAGAAGATTAATAAGCATATCGATAATCAAGTGACTGAAATCAAGTACGTACTGCAATTTTTAAATGCGTTATTATATTACTGCATTAATTAATTATAATCTAACGTTATGTAACGTATTATCAGGACGACGCTTGAGGCCTCGAGATCTAAGAAGAATACACGGTATAAGGAAATCCGTTTCGCGAGCGTGATACTGAGGGTCTCGCATTACTGTCTGAGTTTATTGGACGCTGAGCTTACGAGGATGCACAAGTTGGACACCGATGTTTACACTAGCTGAGGTTGTGTATTGCAGCTCACTCATGGACTTCCTTGTGCCTGTCTCCTCCGTAACGCAGACGATTTCGACGTTCCGATTGATCTCGGAATGATTCACCAGTTCTGGAGAACGCTCGAGATATTAGAGCCAGGTAATTTAAGATTAATGTTTTATTTATAATTTTCTATTAAAATACATTATTTGTTTTAATTCATTGACGTTTTTATCGTATACTTGTAGGGACTGGTCATCCGAGCCAGGCGAGCAACGCTGCATGGTCAGATGCGGCGTTCTTTCAGACGCTTGTGACTGAGGTTGAAACCCGCGATCCCGCGACGATGCGGTACGTGAATCAGTTCATGTACAGTCATCTTTACCCAGACCAACAGGATT